TCACCAAGATGGACGTCCAATCCGGTTATAATAACATCCGCATTCACCCTGATGATAGATGGAAGGCTGCGTTTACCACGGAGTTCGGACTCTATGAGCCGAATGTCATGTTTTTTGGACTTTGCAACTCCCCGGCTACGTTCCAAGCCTACATGAACCGTACTTTCCAGCAAGAAATCAATGAAGGATGGTTGGTGATTTATATGGACGATATCCTCATCTTTTCGGATAACCTCAATGAACATCACGCTCGTACCCGTCAAATTCTTACGAAAATCTGCGAAGAACGACTCTTCTTGAAACCAGAAAAATGTACCTTTGACGCGCAAGAAGTTGAATACCTCAGCATGATTATTCGCCCTGGATGCATAGCTATGGACGTTGCTAAGACTGATGGAATCCGCGATTGGCCAACTCCGTCCACTGTTAAAGAAACCAGATCGTTCCTAGGTTTCTGTAACTTCTATCGGAACTTCATCCCTCATTATTCCGATATCGCACGACCCCTTATCAATCTTACAAAGAAAGATAACATCTTCCTTTGGTCCGCACCCTGTCAAGAGGCATTTACGATGCTAAAGGAATGTTTCCTAAAGCAGCCTGTCCTCCGTAACCCTGACCCATCTCGACAATTCGCAGTAGCCACCGATGCATCTCTTGTTGCAACGGGTGCTGTCTTACTACAAACCGACGAGAACGGCGTGTATCATCCTTGCGGATACCTCTCCCAATCCCTTAACCCCGCTGAAAGAAATTATCAGATCTTCGATCGAGAACTCCTTGCCGTTATCTGTGCACTCCAAGAATGGCGTCGTTATTTAGAAGGAAACCCCCACCCAATTATCGTTTTCACCGATCATAAGAATCTCCTTTATTTCCGTACCGCGCAAAAGTTAACCCGTCGCCAAGCCAGATGGCAACTCCTTCTTTCCTGTTACGATATCGAACTTCACCACGTCCCAGGAACCAAGCTTGTCGCACCTGATGCCTTATCACGTCGACCTGATCATGCACCCGACTCCATCGATAACGAAGATATGACACTCCTCCCCGATTCCATGTTCATTCGCCTTCTCGATCAAGAGCTCATGACTACTCTTGCGAACCCTGATCCTGATGACACCGATCCCATCTTCCAAGCCGCCTCTGATGCCTTAAATGGCCTTTGCCTTCCTCCCATGAAATCGGCTCTCTCTGATTGGATGATTAAAGATGATGTCCTGTTCTACAAAGATCGTGCCTACGTCCGTCCAGCCGGACACCGCTCTATTTTAGAACGAACCCATGACCACGCCACAGCAGGACATCCCGGTCGTTTTAAAACCGAAGAACTGGTTAAACGCGACTTCTGGTGGCCGTCCATGGGAACCTACATCCGTAAATACGTTGAAGGTTGCGCCCTTTGTCAGCAAATGAAATCCGATACCCACGCCACAACCCCTCCGTTGGTTCCCATCCCTTCTTCGGTCTCTACTTCCGTTCTCCCAAGTCTCCGTCGACCTCATCACTGATCTTCCCCCGTGTAATGGGTTCGACTCTATCATGGTCGTGGTAGACCATGGTCTTACGAAGGGGGTAATTCTCATCCCTTGTACGAAAACTATAACCTCAGAAGGCGTAGCAAAGAAATTCTTCAAATACGTCTACCGCCGCTTCGGGCTCCATGAGAAAGTAATCTCAGATCGAGGCCCACAATTCGTATCCAAGTTCTCTAAAGCCCTTGCAAAACTTTTGAAATACAATATCGCCCGCTTCCCACCGCTTATCATCCGCAAATGGACGGTCAAAACCGAACGTTTGAATCAAGAATTAGAAACCTACCTCAGAATCTATTGCCGCAACAACCCAGAAGAATGGGTTGAACATATCCCCATGTCCGAATTCGTCCACAACCATCGCAAACATGACTCTCGCAACGCATCCCCATTCTTCCTCATGATGGGATACGAGCCACGGGCTCTCCCCCATGTACTCCCAGATTCCACTGTTCCCCGCCGCAGAAGAAAGACTTCGTCTCCTTCAGAAAATGCGAGAAGAAGCTATCTCCTGCCACAACCTTGCAATGCAACGAATGGCTGCACGATCGTACGGAAAGAAGTACCAACCATGGAAGGTCGGCGATAAGGTTTGGCTATCAGGAAAGAACCTTATCACGCAGTTACCATCACGAAAACTCGCTCCAAAACGCTACGGCCCCTTTACCATCACCGCAGTACTATCACCGATCACATTCACACTCCAGTTACCAAAGCAATGGAAAGTTCATCCCATGTTCCATGCTTCTGAATTATCGTCCTATCATGAAACCGAAATCCACGGTCCTAATTTCCCTGATCCTCCACCTGACATCATTGATAACGAGGAAGAATACGAAATCGAAGCAATCTTATCACACAAAGGAACGGGTAAACGAAGACGCTATCTAGTATCCTGGAAAGGATATTCATCTGCCAGTAACGAATGGATTCCCATGGAAAATCTTGGCAACGCCTCCGCAATCCTCGCTGCTTATAAGAAAGCTCACCAGTTATAAGAACCGTTGCGAAAAGATGTCTTTCTCAGAACTTCGTACTCTCCAGACTTGCCTCTTGCAACTTCAGATTCTTGTCGGTGTCATATACCATATATCCGGTTACAGATCCGATGATCTGGATCTCAGATCCGATCCAGATCCGATGAACATATCCATCGTCCGGTCCACAGATCCGCTTTGATTCTTATTTCATTTCCTGTTCATATAACTCTAACTATCGTTCATCTCCTTTCGGTATTCCTGTATACCGGTATACCGGTTATCCTTTACATCCGCTATGCTTACTGATCCGCTACACTTACGAATCCGCTTTTACTTGTACTTCATTCCCGGTTCATGATTCGTGATCCATCCAACTTACCAATACGCTCCACTTAGACTTTGCTTATACTTTCGTACATAGCCTCGCACCTTTGCTTATGGATCATTCCGTTAGCTATCCGTAGTATATAAACCTTTGTATATGCGCTGTAGTAGATCAGTTCGAATATCATCTTAGATTGCACTCATTCCGTCTGGACTCTGAGTCCCTCCGTTATCCATCCGGACTTGAGTACGCTACTCTTGTCTACTCCGAGACTTAGGATAGATTCCTATAGTCTACATATCCGCCTCTGTCTTTGGACAGTCCTCACCCGTTAGTTTCTAGTCCGGATCCGATCCGGATTGGCCGTTACTCTATATACGCGATACTTTAGCTCTCTGAAATAAGGGGCAAGACTCGGGAAAGGGGCACAGCGCACGAGCTGAGGCCGAAGCCCTTCGGATCCGATACTACTTGAGTACGGTCTTAACAGTCGGAACCATTGATAATATGTCCGAAACCCTTGCCACTTCTCCATCCACAACATCCATCACTTTGACCGAAACCATCGAATCCCCAAACTACTTCACCATCCTTGACGATATCGAAACCAATACGCTATTTGAATCCGCTATTCTCTCTGAACAATACGCTATCGAGATAGATCGTCTCCTTGCTGAACAAGGAGCCCTCTCTAGCACGCTCCTCATTAACATTATTCGCGCCGCCAACCTCATCAAGCGTACCGCAGGCCTTCTTAGTGAGAGTGAGAATGACCAACACTTTAAAGCCATTTTCCGTCATCTCCATATTCGCATTCGCAACTCTGCGATACGTCTCATGCCTACCTCTACCAAAGAAGTTGTTAGAGAAGCCATCCATATCGTTACTGAACGAATTGCAACAAACCCAATCGCCAGACCACCATCTCCTCACGTCGCAATTCCCATTCCTCCTCCAGTTGAGATATCATCTCCCGTTGAGTGTACGCCTGATGCTATCATTCCTCCTGATGTACAAATCGTACCGTTTGCTTCTACGACTGCCCCGGTGGCAACCACCCCTCGCCTACGCCCCACTCGTCGACGACCCTCCAAACGAGAAATCTCCGTCTCCCCTCCCTCACGCAACAACACTCTACACTCCAAGACACCATCCCCGCCTCCGCAATCATCCTCCGTCACCATTGTGAAAACCGACCCCATTGATAATTTCAAATGTCGCTACTGTAAAGAATTCGGTCATCGTCACAAGAACTGCCCAATGTATTTCTGCCGCGTATGTCGTAATCTCGCGCCAGGGCATCTTTCGGTCTTTTGTAAAGACCTTAAAGGCGAGAAACCTATCCCATTAGTATGGACGGATGAAGGCTTCTACGAGGCTCTCACTAAATGGGAGACTGACAAGGACGCCGCCTTGGAACAGATCTCTATCGAAGAAGATGAGAGAATGTTCATTCAATGTGCAGGTGATCGTGACAACTATGACGCTTACGATAACTTTGATTGTTGAAATCGGTGACTTCAACGATAACAACGGGGTAATGTTACAGTCAAGTACGCCCCTATTCATTTTCCTTTTCTTACATCATTGTATTACATCACAATCGCATCTTGCCATCGCTAGATGATCTATTCTTGTTATCTCTGACTCGTCTTATCTCTGACTCATCTTTATGACCTCATCGTACCGGCCCTAAAGTCGTTACCGTTTACTATATAAACTCGTCTTGTACTATGTAGTTCGTTACTTTAATCTTACTAGGTTTTACCTGGAACTTCCTTCGCTTAAGACCACCAATCTTACGTTGTATTGAACTTGATTCAAGTCGAGGACACTCTCCTTGACTTGCCTTAGAAACACTGAAACTTCGGTATACGCCGAAGTCTTGAACCAACCTTGGCCGATTACTCTTATCGAGTAGCCATACGTCAGAACCATCCTAGTTCGTAACACACCTCAGTATGTTGCGTAGAACAAGACTGAGGTGTGGGAATGAGACGCACAAGACTATATATGATGCCGGAGAACACACTGTCCGGAGAGTGTGTGTATGGTCAAGAAGGAAAGAAGATATGGTACATATAGTGTCGATGGTGATAATGAAGATAACATCAAGAAGGGAAATTAACAAGCTAAAAGGTAAATCCCAATAAGGAAATCATGCAATGCTCAAGGCTACGCAAGGGCACACGTAAGGCCAACAAATGGAATGCTTTTGTTAAAAAAGAAGTCGAACATCATAATGCAGGTATGTTCTACTTCTATCTTTATTTCCTGCCATCTCACTGTATCACTACAGCATTACCAGCCAGTGAGAAACATCACAAGGCATGTGAGCTCATGTCCGAAATTCATGCACATTGGCAGGAGATGGACGAAGATCAACGCACCATCAAAACTCAAGACATCATCGAGACCCTTACTGAACGTCGTGAAATGAAGGAATTAGCCACTCACAACACCATGATTCATGCATTCAATGATGCTCAGAGGACTCTTGAGAAGATAGATTGAGAGGTAAGCTTTGTTTTGTGTAGCGAGATTTATATTACTGATTATTATGTCTAGTTGACGGCTTTACATAGTTGTACTGGTGTTGAATTCATCTTACTTGGTGTACGAGGAGATACAGAACATTAGAATCAGCCTCACATTTTCCACACGGCTCGCACAGCTGAGTTCTTTGACTATTGCTTCAAGACTTCAATTGGCATGCTTGCATTTCGCTTCGAAGGCTATTGTATTGCAGGTGTACAAGGTATGAATTCACAGTATGTCTAATCTATCTTCTGACTTCAACTACAACAGGCCTTGCAAAGACTCACCTGGATGAGGTCCTCAAGTTGAAGTGAATTGATTTTACAAAAGCTTCGTGAGTGTGCCATCTTTATCTTTCTCTGACACATTTTCAAGTTCAGCTCATTTGTTTGTCATTGTAGAGGCCGCAGCAGCACCTGCACAGGCACAGCGCATGTATTACACTAACTTTGATACCAGCATTACAGCGAAGTACCGCATGGTACTTGAGAAGTGGCCGCTATCGAAGTTCTGCTGCCCTGGTGACATAAGTTCATGCAATGAACTTCGTGTCTTGTACCATGCCTGGAACACTAACACTATGTGCTTTCAGCGGCTTTCAGATGTCAAGTTTGAGGATTGGGAGAATGGAAGGTTTGATGATAAGATGGCCGAAATGTGAAGGGATGTTGATGAAGACAATAATTCTACTCCTCCTGTGCCATCACCTTCCCCCCCTTTCACGGAGATACCTACATCGACAGCAGATATTCAGTCCCAGCCACTTTCAGCACTGCAGAGCAGAAAGTGGCCTGGGGAGGAGCTCAATGGTGTGTTCTCTGTCTCGGGAGAGGCCATGCCGGTCCAGAAGAGGGCGCGGTGTCATGCATGGTATGCAACTCATATCATGACAGATACACAAGAGGTGTGATAAGGAAGGTATAATAGACCCTACTGTATCCTATCACCAAGTTACCCCATCATTTTCCCCTTAGTTATTAGCTAGTATTTTCACTTTCAAACTTCACTTCCATTTTGTTCTATGACATTCCATCTCTTTCTATTTTCCTCAGGCATATTCAGCCAACAGACTTTCTTTTCAGCCACCAAGCATGTTTGTAAGCATGTCATGTGACTGGTAGATATCATGATTTGTAAAGATTGAGCTTGACTCATCATGTTTGTCATGATTCGTCATGCTTTGTAAGATTTCTAACTGTATTTATAAGCTACTTAGTAAGATGGCTGATTCAGCACACCAAATGGCATTGTTAGTAAGCACATCCTTACCAATCCATGTGATGACTCATGCCATGATTCATCATGCTTTGTAAACTACACTGTATTTATAATGTAAATTAGTAAACAGGCTGACTCAACACACCAAATGGCATTGTTAGTAAGTACATTCTTACCAATCCATGTGATGATTCATGCTTTGTAATCAGGGCCTCCAAAAGGTATATAAGGAGCCCAATTTTGCCATGTAATAAATGGAGCACTTCCCATCTTCACTCATCTCAAACAGTGTGAGATTAAGTAAGAACCTAAGTACAGGCAAATCATTAGCCTCAAAGTAAGACTAAGAAACATTTATTCAATTATATACTACCTTACAGGGGTTGATTATATAATCTATCAGCTAATCTAACTAAGTTTAACCCATACTATTTTCCTCTCTCTTTTACAGGAAGGGAGACACAATTCATGCTACACATTTCACACTACACGATACACGAGCACGCTAACTCTCAGACACAATTCATACCATAGACTCAGTATACAGAATAAAATTGTTTTAAACTAACAAGGAACAAGGAAAGAAGGTATATTGAAATAAATCCTCCCAAGAACTCACACATTATCTACCACGAAAACTAGAAAAGTCATAGACCGTGTACTTAAGGACTGGCAATAAGTCTTATCCTATATAGTTGTGTTGTCACTATATAAGCGGCGTACATAAGACCCTTAAGTAAGAGGACAGCGGGCCGTGGTCTTAATCAGCACAAAACTTGACACTAATACCTGGAAGCAGATCACGTTTCCGTCCTCAGACGTAGTCACATTCCAACTATCGGGACCCTATGGACGCTGTACCATATCTAACATCTATAACGACTGTACTCATCACGACCCACTGACCACCTTTGACTCCTTTTTAGAAAACAACATAAACACCTTCAAGACCGTGGAGACTGACCATATGCTTTGGCTAGGAGACTTCAACCATCACTTATTCAATTATGCTGCTGCTAACCCCCTTATTGATCTCATAGCTAACTACGGCATGCTCCAATTCCTCCCAAGCGGCATCCCCACCCTGCAATCCACCAGTACCGGTAACTGGACTCGCCCAGACAATGTATTCGGCTCGGAACACCTCCTCGACTCCATTATCTCCTGCAACACTGCCCCCAAACTGCGTGGACCCAAGACCGACCACCTACCCATTCTGCTTACCCTAGAGTTAGAATCGCCACAAACTCTGGACATCCCAAAATGCAACTGGCAGGAGGTGGACTGGGACGCATTCAACAAGCGTCTCACGGAGCTCATATCCACCAAACCGGCCCAACCTCTAGCATCAGCCGAAGAAGTCCAGGAAGCCGCCAAACATCTCACCCTTTCGATCACGACTACCATGGACACTTGTGTACCGTACTCAAACCCATGTCCCCACTCCAAGCGTTGGTGGACGAAATACCTATCTCGATTGAAGTCCCATGTCAACGACCTCAGCAAGACGGCTTACCAGATGTGGGGACTGCCTCTCCACCCATGCCACGATGAACTCAAGGCCGCCAAAGATCACTACGCCGAAGAGATCACCGTAACAAAGAAACAACACTGGATTGACTGGTTGGAAGACATTGAAGGTAACGATTTGTGGACCACTAACAAATATATATCTTCAGAACCCCGCGACGGCGGTAAATCGCACGTGCCAACCCTCCTTATCCCCAATCAAGACAGCACTAACACCGAAGCGATCACCAACCATGAGAAGAGCCAGATATTAGCTAAGTCCTTTTTTCCTCCTCCCCCCGTTACTGATTCTGTGCCTCCGGCAGACGAAACAGAGTATCCTGACCCCATTGAACGCCTACCTCCGATCACCACAGACCAGATTACACGTGCCATTTGCAATCTCAGCGGATACAAGGTCCCTGGCCCAGATGGAATCTGTAACATAGTATTCAAAGAATGCGCTAAGACTCTCATTCCCTACTTACACTTTCTTTTCAACGCAGTGTTCTCTCATCATACCTACTACCAGCCCTGGAGGGAATTCTCCACCATAGTCCTGTGCAAACCAGGCAAACCTAATTATTCTGTCCCAAAAGCATACCGTCCAATTGCCCTGCTCAACACCACAGGCAAGCTCCTAACTGCTGTAGTGGCCTACCAGCTCACTCATGTGCTGGAGCGACACCAACTACTTCCAAACACGCATTTCGGAGGACGACCAGGCCGATTCACCACGGATTCACTCCACCTGCTTGAAGAAACAATTAAGAATGCCTGGCGATCGCATAAGGTAGCCTTAGTTTCGTTTCTGGACATCAAAGGCGCATTCCCCAACGCTGTAACAAAGTGACTACTCCATAATATGCGCATGAGGCGCATCCCAACTGACATTGTAGAATTCACAGAACAGGTACTCACGCACCACCAGACGCAGCTGAAATTTGATGGTTACACTTCCGACTGGTTCCCAGTAACCAATGGTATCGGTCAAGGGGACCCTCTCTCGATGATCTTGTACATTATATACAGTTCGGACCTGGTAGACGTTGCTAAGCTGTGGCGAGGACGTGAAGCGTTGAAAGAACTGACACTTGCCTTTGTAGATGATACGGCATTCATTGCCATAGCCAAGGACTTCAATGAGACCCATGCCATTCTCGCAGACATGTTAGAACGTCCCGGAGGCGGGTATGATTGGTCAAGAGCCCATAACTCTCATTTTGAAACTAATAAGTTTGCACTAATGGATTTTTCTATGAACAGACGTAAATCAAGACTGGATATGCACATACAAGGAGCCACTATACATCCAACCTCGACTCACTGTTTCCTATGAGTGATCCTAGACCAAGAACTACGTTGGAAAGCTCACATTGACAACGCCGTGTCGAAAGGAACAGCCTATGTGATTCAGCTACGTCGCCTTTCTTCTTCCGCCAAAGGTCTTCCCCTATGCCTGATGTGCCAACTTTATTTAGCAGTCGCTGTCCCAAAAATGTTATATGCCGCGGACCTTTGGTTCTCCCCAGCTTACCGAGAGGGCTCCAACACCCTGCAACAAGGCTCCATAGGAGTTGCAAATCGCCTATCCGTTGTTCAATGCCTTGCAGCGATAGCCATTACCGACGCTATGAAAACCTCTGCAACAGACCTGTTAGAAGTCCACGCTAATCTTCTTCCTACTACGCTACTCCTACAAAATGCTTGCCACAGAGCCAGCCTTCGCTTAGCCGTCCTCCCCAGCACTCACCCACTCCACCTCCCCATCCGCAAAGCCACTAAGGGATATGTCGCTGCTCACCGCACCTCCCTGCATCGACTCACCCATTGCTTTGACATTTCACCCAACACGGTGGAAACTCTGATACCAGCACGAAGATCTCCATCCACCAAGAACCCCTGGACTACGAACATCGCTGCAAGCAAGGAGGAAGCAGTAGAAGAACATGAACAACTGGATGACCACATTCAGGTATACAGCGATGGATCAGGGTACAAGGGCCGTATCGGAGCGGCTGTGATCCTATTCCACGCAGGCCAAAGGCCCAGAACCCTGCATTACTAACTGGGCACGGAAGAAGAGCACACCGTGTTCGAGGCTGAAGAAGTAGGCCTAACGCTGGCTGCACGGCTAATAGCCACAGAACGGGATGTATTGTTCCCCTTGTCCATCTCTGTTGACAACCAGGCATCAATCCTAGCCGGTGAGAGTTTCTATTCGCGTCCTGGATCCTACCTAGCAGATCATTTCCATAGAATCATGACCAAAGTGGCAAAGGACCACGCAGACTTCAGTGTAACGCTGAGATTGGTACCAGGACACTCTGGTGTCCACGGCAATGAGGAAGTCGACAAGCATGCGAAGTTAGCAGCGGAAGGACAACAGAACAACAGTCCCAGATCCAAATTGCCCCGATACCTACACCATCGCTCCCTGCCACTGAGCATCTCAGCTCTTCAAGAAGTGCAAAGCAAGGCCATTAACGAACATTGGACCCATCTATGGCACAAGTCCCCTCGTTTCTACAGGTTCAATCAACTCGACCCTCACATATTGAAATGTTCATTTATCAAACTTAGCGCAAGTTTTCTCAAACGACTCACCAGCCTATATATGTTTCTATGCACCGGTCACACCCCCCTCAACAAACATCTCTATTGCATATGGAAAGTTAATAGCCCCAACTGCCCTCACTGTCCCCACTACCAATGTGAGCGCCACACCATGTCGAACGCACTAGGTCGTCAGGCATCCTCCATTTCCTTCCTCTTGACCGACCCCAGTGCCACCACCCACCTAGTCAAATTTGTCAACGCAACTGGTAGAATGAGAAGCGTCCTCGGTGAAGTCCCCAACCCACGTTCCCCCACAGCCTGACAGCCCCATTAGCAGATACTGAATCATCAAGACCCTCCACTTCCATTCCCTCCCCTCAAGACAATGTATCATACAATACTCCATATCAATAATTTGTACTACCAACACCCACTCGTCTACACGCAGCCAACCTCGTCCCTCTTTGGTCCAAGTCAGCAGGAACACAGATCCCCTCAGTCAACCATGGGCACATCCTACATATCATTCCACTGCATCCAAATCTGACTCCTGTACCTGACTGCAGTAGCGGCTGAGTACATGTTATGTTTATTCCTTGATAGTCACATATCATGTCTCAGTATATCACAGTCATCTCATCTAGATCGAGTCGCGCATCTAAAATGGCCAGCAGGAATGGCAGACTGGTGGGGGTACACCTCACACCAGGGCATTCGCGAACTTGGAGATGTGCAGGGGACACTGGGGGTCCCCACGACTAGATAGTAATGTCCTCCATAGAGTACAACTCTCCATACGACAGAAAAATTGAATCCAAAAAAAAAAAAAAAAAAAAAAACATGATACCAGCACTCAAAAATTCACAAGTGTCGAGTATGTTCAATCAACAAACAAGGATCACATGATATATACACGGCCAGTCTGTAGAGTACCAGTAGTACAAGTGGAAATCTAAGTATCATGAGATGTGTCCTCAATGTTGGGGGCCTTGCTTGCCTTAAACTCTTTCTTTGCGCACCCATTATCAGTGTAAGTTTGAACCAGCAGATTCAACAACAATCACATGATACCAGCACTCAAAAATTCACAAGTACGTTTGATCAACAAACAAGGATCACGTGATATATACACGGCCAGTGCATCCTCAATACATGTTCTCAAAGATCATCTCATGAGTCATGGCGCTCAACATCATTGTCAAAACAATCACAGCGTTCAATACACATTATTGAAAGATACTATCAAGATGCTATGTACGACAAAACATTGCAGGGGTGCCTAGCCAATCACTTACACCTTGGTTCGCTTTTTCTGGTGTGTCGCATCAGCATGAGAAAATGTGTGAAGTAACCAAAGCAACATACTTGGGAGTGCTGGAAGCCTCGCTTTGTCCAGGTCGTTTCAAAGTGTGAGGTGCTTCTGCCTCTGAGACATTCTCCTTCCCAGTCAAGAATGAGACACCATTAGTCCCAATAGCATCTGCAAGGTCATTGCATCTAGACTTGATTGGCACACACTTTCTGCATACTTCGGTGTCCACAGTGTGGTTCACCAAACTATCGGATGATGCCATGCCATCCGAAGCACTGGTGGCAGCACCAGTTACATTGGTGATGGGGTTGGGTGAAGGGCAGGGTGAGGGGTTCCTTGTCATGGCGGCAGCCTCATTGACCATCAGCATAGCAGTAGACTGCTACTGGTTCTCGTTTGTGCGCTGGGTAGAGGAGGACTGAGTGACTGTTTCAGTGGAGGGTTTAGCCTGACCAGGCGACGACTTAGCAGCGGGCGGTTTCTTAGTTTTAGTGGTATGCTGTGAGGCAGACTCAGCAGAAGATTTGGCTGCGGCCTTCCCCACCATTGACTTAGTGTTGTCACGCTTCTGGCCATCTCCCTTTTTGGCAGCCTTCCGGGAGATCTTCACCTTCCTGCTGGTCGTTGTGCCAGCCTTTTCGATGGAAGGGAGAGAAGTATCATCCGCACTCAGGATCGGGTTGGGAGAAGGCAGAATAGGGTGTGAGTCCTCGTCTGGCACAGGAGAAGGTAGAGAAGGGAGTGAGTCCAGGAGGCTGCTGCATTCTGTGGAGATGGGGGACAAGATATCTGACAGTCACCACCCACCTCGAGGAGTCCCTTCTACACCATCAAAGTTCCAGGCCGGATTGTTCCCATTCCAGGGTGGGTTGTTCCAGTCTGGGATCTGGAACCCCTCATTAAGTGAAGACTCAGGGGTGATGATGCCTGGCATGAACAAATTGGAAGGGCAGATTCCGAAGTCAGTGTAGGTACTCATCTGCATCGGGAATGCGGGTCCTTGAGACTGAAGTGATGCATCAGGTCCAGTGACGAAGGAAGGGTACATTCCAGCGAATGATGCATGGCTGGTGCCCTGTGCGTTGTATGTTGGGCCTTGTAAGCCGTACGTAGGATAAGCCTGTGCGCCATATGTAGTGTGGGCCTGGATGCCATACATGGACTTGGACTGAGCCTGTGAGTCGTACAATGCCTGAGGCTGCATGCCATAGTACACAGCATGATTTTGCAGGCCATACTGAAATATCGGTGGTCAGATGAAAATATTGATAGGAAGACCGGGAAGCACTTACGGAAGGTGCAATTGTCTCCATTGATGCATGAGTCACTGACGTCAGCTCCCCAGCACTTAATGACTCAGTTGCTCCAAATGATGCATTGGTTGTCATAATCGATGCAACTGCTGATGATGCATCAGCCACTGGTGGAAATGTATATAAAGGCTGGACAACTCACCAGATTCCACGACACCCACGGACTGATTCCCCTCGCCTTTATCTTCCTCCATGTCTGTGGACTGTGCATCAGACTCATCTTCTTCACCTGCCTCATCTCCATCATCTTCTTCCACATCCTCATCTCCTTCCGCATCCTCATCTCCGTCGTCACCTTCCACATCACTGGAATTTTTGTATTTCTCAGACTCTTCCTCATCAGGGTCACCAGTCTCACCACTATCATCCTCCTTCCATGCATTCAAGTCAGGCTTGCACTTGTTGCCAGCTGCACACATATTCAGTGAGTGTACCCATAATCAATGCGAGAAAACTTACAAAAAATTTGTTCTGTGTACTGCTGGAAGGCCGCCAGGAAATCATGGTCAGCTGTCTCGTATAACTCAGAGAAGGTGTTTCCTTGAGGTGTTTCCGATGGATGGCACCTTCTGTGTGTGAGTTACAGTAAACCCAAGAAATCCGCCACCACTCACAATAATGTTGTCATATCCCAGTCATTTCTTGGATCAGGACCGGCGAACATGAACGAGACCACAAAACGAGTCTTCTGCTTGACAAGCTGCACAAAATGTTGACAAATGACAGGTAAGTCATCTATCCCTCTGTGAATAGCGTTAGTATTGAGTTCACCAAATAGAACTGAATCAAATGTACTGCATGATTATGCACCTCTGCATCCATCTCTTCATTGCCATCCTCGTCATCAGGAATGCTCTTGCCATGCTTGGTACCCTTCTTGCAAGTTAGTTGTTCTTCATACTTTCTACGAACCTCCACCTTGACGTCCTCAGACTCGTCGTTGAGCAATTGGTTAGAGAATTTTCGACCAAGGGCCACATGCTTGCCAGAAGTAGTCACGTTGCCGGCTTCCGCTTCAGCCATCACCAAAGGCTTGATACGTTCGTCGTAATATATCTCTGAATAGATCTCGGCCTCTGACTTGGTGTGTCTTTTTGGCAAGAAGAATAAAGTATGTAGAGTGGTGCCTGTATTTCATTTCATGAGGATTGCTCCTCTAGCATATTGATCAGTTCAGGCCTAGAGCTCGAAGAGCAACAGTACATTTTTGGATATATTTTCGCTTGCATTGTCACTTATGCCTTCTTCTCCCAGATGATGCTTGAGAGCCAACAAGGATGCTCGTGGCTTACACGTCACGGACAATCAAGAAGGGAAACTACTCGAGCGAAGTAATGCATTACAGCGTAGGATCGACTCCTGGGCAAAGATGCAAGAGCTTTACATGCCCAACATGGCGGCCATGCGGATCTCAGACAATGCAACCGCTGCAAGCACTTCCTCTATCCCTTCTGCCGAAAGCTTCAAATTGTGGCTGCCCTCACAGATTGGCAGGTCTTCACCTTGCGACAAAAGCCTGCAGAGGGTAGAATGGAGACTTAGATATGCTCAAGGGCACAATGCCCTCCGCTCTTTGCGCTCCTGCCTTCGCGCACAGACAGCCATTCTCAAGCATAAAGACCGGAACCTATGAGGACAAGGGGCAAATACTAGAGCACACAACACGCTCAAGGCAATTGACGTGAGGATCGAAGGCGCCACTAGGAGATATGAAAGTGCTGTGGTGTTCAAGCTCAGGCTAGCCTTGCAAAACCCCATTTTGCTATAGGAGTCAAGCAGCCTAGATATCCACATCGCATCCATACACCACTTCCTTGCAAAGTCTCAACTCACTCGACTCACCTATGTCGCACCGGTCTATGTCCGACTTGGCCAATACGGATCCGTGGTCTCAGTCTCTCGCAGAAGAGCCAGGGTAGTCTTAACCATCCCTTGCTCGTCGGATCGGCCATCGCGCACCTTGGCCAACCGTTCCATCCCATCGGTACCAAATCCTCCCATGTCCTACCCATGTCCACCTATCTCCATTGGTGCGTTTTAAGCTTATTTTACTGTTACTGAACGAACAGCAGGCATTATTACATGTATTCCCATGGCCGCAGCACTCACGAGCCTTATTACATATCGAACTGAGTACCTCGCGTTTCGCTACTACTTTCACCTGTGCGATTCCGGACGTTCACGCAGTTAGATAAATAGGACTCAAGTTCGTATTATCCCTTACTTCCCTTCCTCGGACATTCCTGGTACCATTGTAGGAGTCACCTTAGTTAGTCTTTGATTGTGCAATTGATCCCCCCTTGCTTTTATCATCGGACGTGCCTTGACCGCTCTAAGTGCACTCTATCTAAGGTTTCTTTACCTAGGCCTTGTGAGATCCGGACCACTACCGGTAGTCTTACGTCGGCAACCCATACCTAGTCTTACCTCGTCATACCTAGTTATACCTGGACTCTCTTTACCTTGGCCTAGACTTACCTGCTGCTCATCGGCATCAGACTCCTCACCTCACATCAGTATCTTGCATTGGTGTCTTTCATTGGTATCTCATGTCGGTGCCCTTCATCGGTATCTCGCGTCGGGTGTACCATCAGTATCCCATATCGTGTCGGACATTCTCGGACTCGGACCTTCGGTTGGTCGGATATCGCAGGTCTTAGATCTTAGTTTCTTCCTTTCTCTTCCCTCGCACTATTAGAAGGAAGTGCTTCAATAGCAGTCCCCTTGGGTCGAAGTACTGCACTCGCACCCATTAGGATTTAGTAAGTTAGTTGGTATATCTAGCTGACTACCATTTCTTTCACCACAGCGCGCACAAGGCACTGGTCATTCTTGGCAATCTACTGGATGAGTCCAGCTGGCAGTCTGCACTGCGTCCCTTGAACCACCAAGATATACACTCGATGTCCAACTTACTCTGGGGAGAATCGGAAGGCAGATGGAAACTCTCGTGGATCTGGAACATGCGGGGCACTGGTGGAAGCGAAAAGGACAACAATGGAGCTCTAGAAGGTGAGCATTGTCCTAGAATGGGTTCCCTTCCTAATGGTACTACATACAGATATGAGGATTGAGTGGTGCAAGGCAAGAGCTTGTGCAATGCGATGGGAGGAGGAGGTGGAACTCCTTCGCGAAGAAATGTGTCGCATAGGAGCATTCCTGAGGTGGGAAGCGGGGCGCTGGGATGCAAGGCGTGATGAGGCTATGCCAGCCGACATGGAGCATGAGGACAGGTGTGTAGCATATGCACACTGTCAGGCACACTTGCGCCGAGAACTGGCAGCCTCATTTGAGACACTTTTGGCACAGACATTGACTCATTTGAGTGCGCAGGATGGGTCTGGGGAATATAGTGTGGATATAGCCAGTAGCTAGATCTATCTTTCGTATTGTATCGTAATACACTGTAATGCATCAGTGTCGGGGGGACGCATTCAAAAGACGGTGGGAGTGTGCAGCACCGGGGGATGCATCAGAAAAATGGCAGGAATATGCAGCATTGGGGAATGTACCAGAAAATGGCGGGGATGCATCAGCATGAGAAGTCATGCATCAAATAAAGCATCACTGGCATCAGAGGATGCATCAGAAAAATGGTGGGAGGATGCATCAGCACAAAGAGGGGGGCATTACTAAGGTGTCAGAGGATGCATCAGAAAAACGGCAGGAGGATGCATCAGCACAAGGAGGGGGGCATTACTAGAGGGATGAATGATGCATCAATGGGACGGGCGGTGCATCAGCTTACTAGGGAGATGAGTGATGCATTAGGGACGAGTAATGCATTAGCTATGTAAATATTGCTGCTACGTGGGGGCACTACAACTGTATGACAAATGCATCACAGATGCCCTACAATTACTGCAAGTAATGCATAAATATGACACGAACCTGTGAGAGATTAAGGTTGAGATTAAGGTTTATGTTGTGTATGAAAACTATGTATAGTTCTTACATAATTCTGATGAAGTTTGACATTTGAAATTTGCGGCTTGACCCATAGACCCATACCCAACCCACCAACTACCCATATCCATGACCCACATGGGTTACCATACCCATACTATTGCCTAGTTCCAAGAAAATAGTCATTAGTTGAGGACTGGCTAGTAGTATATGTGCCTATGGTGAATAAAATCAACGAAGGAATGATCATGAACTCATACAACTTGATGTGATAGTCGAATATAGGGCATAGAAATGAGTTGCACTAGCGCGTCAGTAGCCATGTCAATACTTGTCAGTGCCGCATCACTTGCGCGTCACGACCGCGGCAGGCACGGCAGGACCGCGTCAAAATAGCTATGCCCTACTGTATAGCATTCGTCAAAAGCCTTGACTACTGTCAAGGCAACATTCCACAATTCCTACATTGATTCGATTACCTTCTCTCTCATTCCATAAGCCAGTCCTACACTATTTAAACGCTACGTCGATTTACTGGTAGGACAGTTGATCCTTTTACCCCCCGAATACATGTTAGTTCAGACAGTTCACTCCTCATTCGAATCCTAAGTCTATTCTCCCTCGAAAGTCAACTTCTCTTGTATGATCGTTCCTTGAACGCCACATACTGACTCGCGTTTGCGCCACTAGCATTGCTTTCATCTCGCCCGCACAACGCCACACGCTGCATTTCTTGTTCTTAGTATTCTCTATTTGTCAGGAAACCAACATTGTCTCGACCTCCAGGTCTATCAAGAGGGAACTCTCACCAGACGCCGGTATGTTTGTTCTTACCGCCTTCTTACCTGCCTCCTGACCGATATCGACCACGCACAGGCTTTGATGGAAGCGACCCGCACCATGGCTTAGGCACACCGGCCCACGTCAACTCGATAATCTCGCGGCTCGTAAGTTCGGATGCGAGATGAAATGGTACGTTCCACTTCCATCTTCTGGCCTGCCGCTACATCGGCATCTTCAGGGCATCAGTGGTCTCCGTTGTCTAGGTCGGGACCTTGTGGTGGCTTGGGATGAGAATGTCGGCCCTGTTCTTTAAACCAATGAAGCCCAGTTGGGCTGAGGTTTCAGGTGTTGCTAACATTCCATCCCGCCCGCCCCTCAGTGCCCGCTGGGTCCGGGGTAGCATTGTCACCAATAAGTCTGCTTCCTCAGCGCTAAGAGGCTCAAAGAGCCGAGGTCTTCAGCATGAGACTAAAGCAACCCCACCCCGATTCTACATAACAAACCCAATACACTGTTGATGAATCACGCATTCTAGACAAAAGAAAAAAATTAACGCGACCCAGCTTTTGAGAAAAGGTGAGTTCCTCCGTTTGCTCATGTTCCTGGTTGTCTGCGAGACTGTTATGTAGTATCAGCTCGAGACGCCATGGATTGGCAATTTGTCCGAGTATCAATTGTCATCGCATGGAGCCTCGAGCTGGATCTGGCGTGCGACGGCTTATTCCTCTGCTTTTCACACGATGACTGGAACAGATATGTTGTACCACCGCAACTACAGGCCGCAGTGTGATCACCAAATTGGGGACATCTTTATCGCTTACTTATTGATCGCCGTTTTCACTAAACCCTTCTCGGGGGTTGTAAATTTGGTACTTCACAGGCAAAGGTTTGATTGGAGGCCGGGGAGGCACTCAGGCACACTACCATGGGCTTGGTATGTAGCGGACAATTAGCGCGAGCGCCGCCTCCATGAAGAGCATCGCCTCCGTTCAATGCTGGGACGCTAACGAGTGCTCTGGGTTTGTGTTGAGGAAGGCAGAGGTAGTAGAAGTGCACGATTTTGGTCTGGACCAGAATAGGATGAAACACATCACGATGTTATGCACACAGCGAACTGCCACTGGTTTAGTCATTCCTACACTGGTCCCGAGGCAAAAAGTGCGCAGTTCTTTCTGCTTCACGCAGGCGATAACAAATTTATGCACCAGAACAACTATACAATAGAAACCTGGACATCATCTCACACTATCTAAAGTCTAAGTATAGTGACGCCGACACAATAAACCATACCACGCAAAAACGTCTCCGGTCTTGGAAGCTCAGAACACTGACACCACCACGTCCATTTGAGAACGTCTCTAGAAAATTGGGCTGGTCTGAGTGTTGCCAATTGTCTGAGGAGAGAAGGAATGACTATCTAGGGTCTGCCTATACAATTAGGTGGGACGGCAAAGTCTGTACATGGTAATCATTGGGTCAGTTCTCGCGGAACCCAGAAATAAAGTTTCCGACCGTGACGTTGAGACACATTGAGACCACTATTGAGCCCAAATTCTGATCTGGGCCGTCATTAGGACCAAATTAGGATATAATTTGAAACACCGTTGAAACCAACTTGAAACGACCAAAACTCTTGTATTGCAACAACTTTAATAGCATCCCGCATTGAGTTTCTTGTACCCCTTGCAAGTTTGCAACCCCTTGAAATCCAAATAATAAATCACCGACATCTGAAGCCACCGGCACCGACGGAGCGTAGCTGCTAGTAAACAACACCTGGCCGCCAGATCTGAGGCACGGTCAGAAAAGTTCTATGGACAGGTGCGATACATATCCAGGGGATACTAATAGTATTGTTGGTGGTAACAGAGAAAGGTCGATAAGGCGCGACGGTGAGCTCATCTTTGCAATGGCATTGCAAACAGCAGCGGCTAACTCTGCGTATAACTTACTCCTAACACCCAGTGGCGCCACACCTGACAAGTTCACGATGACAGCTGGCGTTATCATCAACCAATGGAATGAGGACTAGCTTGATGGATTCCTGGTCCGATCACCGCGCCTGTCATCAAAGTATAATTATACAGTACTAGTACTGTAGTAATACCTGCTCAGTCACCACTCTCTATCTATTTAATCACTGGCAGTCTGTCCAGGGACATGTTTTGTCTTCCTCTCATCCAAGTTTTCCTTGTCTAAAGTTCTGGTCAATGTCGGCCTCTCCTCCAGAAACGGTATGTGTTGAGAACACCAATACTCGCGTACTAAATGAAGATGATGGGGAGGAACAGCATCTTTCCCAGCTCCACGGTGCCTCCACAATCACGGACGACAACCTCGAGGAAAAAATTCCGGACCACCTTCAACAGTTAGAAGATGAATGGCAAGACGACCCAGCCAACCCCAGGAATTGGACTCCGGCCAAAAAATGGACGGCCATTATAATCGTCAGTTCTTCCATCAGAATTGGATATCTAGTCGGGAGGCCTAATTTTGGCTTCCTGTCAGCTTGCGCTCTACACTTTTGTGACTCCGTTAGCAAGTTCTATTATGGCACCTAGTTTGCCAGACCTGGCCATAAAATATGGCATAACAGATCCGACAGTCACAGCGTTGACTCTCAGCATCTTTCTTTTGTCATTCGCTATTGGCCCTTTATTTGCCGCACCCTTGACCGAAGTATATGGTCGTGTGTGGGTGCGTCGTCCTCTTCTTTAAGACCAATGGAACCGCCTGCCTGAATCAGTTCAAGGTCCTCCACTTATCGAACCTCTTATTCCTCGCGTTTAATCTCGGCTGTGCTTTTGCACCCAACACTTCATCTTTTCTCGCCTTTCGGTTTCTAGGTACGTTATGGAACCATTACTATCACAAGTTCACTTATTCTCTGCGAAGCTGGTTTCGTGGGGAGTGCACCCATCGCATGCGGCGGAGGCGTCGTTAGCGACCTCTTCTCCGAATACGATCGTGCCTCCGCCATGTCAGTATACTATGTCGGACCCTTAATAGGTGCGTTTCACGGTCTGCAATCTTGACGCAAGCTCACGCTCATCTCGCTAGGGTCCTGTCATTGGGCCCGTCATGGGAGGCTTCATCGCAGAGTCGGTCGGCATACAATATGATTTCTATGTCGTCGCCGCGATCTGTGGTGTCGCAGCAGTGATCGGCATTCCTTTTCTAAGAGAATCCTATGCTCCAGTAATCAGGCTTCGTCGTCAAAAAATGACAAGAGATCTCGAAAAGGCAGCTGGGATACATCCTGACCTCACCACACCCCACATGAATAAATGGGTTTATTTGTGGATCAACCTCAAACGACCCGTTATACTTTTGACCCGGAGTTTTATATGCTTCATCCTCAGCTTATACGTGGCTCTGTAAGTTTTATTTAATATCACGCGGCTAACTGATGTCATCTGTTTAGGATTTATGGTGAATACTTAGCATCTTACATCGAGTTATGCTGTGGACTAAAATCATCTTTCAGGTATCTACTACTTAATGTTTGCCACGTTCCCAAGTGAGATCATATTCACCCGATAACACGGGAACGAATATTAAAAACTTGCGTCCAGCTCTCTTTTCGGAAGTATACCACTTCAGTATCGGAATCGGAGGTCTGGCATACATTGGACTTGGCGTTGGATTTATATCCGCCGCCATCTTCGGCGCCAAACTTTCTAACAAGACATACTCACACGTACGTCAAGACTCTACTTCGGCCGCATTAGCTGAAGTGCACCTCTTATCATAATGTAGCTTTCTGCAAAAAATGGAGGAGTTGGTAAGCCAGAGATGCGCATACCCGCTCTGATATTTGGTTCGTTGTTCGCCCCAGTGGGACTACTGTGA